CCAGACCCTGGGTCTCTCACCACATCGATCAACCCGGACCCCTTCTGACTCCTTCCAGAACTCCATCAGATTCTTCTCAGCCAAAAGGGGTGGAACAGAAGGCGCCATCATGGGAGTCGACATCCGCCCCAACAAAGACCGAAAGGTTCGGCGCAAGGAGCGCAAGAGCCAGGACATCTACCTAAGGCTGTTGGTCAGGCTGTGCAGGTTTCCGGCCAGACGAACCAACTCCACCGCCTTCAACCAAGCGGTGCTGAAAGAGGATGTTCATGAGTCGCACCAGCCGGCCGCCTCTGTCCCTTTCCCTGATGACCCGGGAGATGAAGCTTCCTGGCCACGAGGGCAAAACCGCCGTGGTTGCAGGGACTGTAACTGATACGTGCGTGTCCCGGAGGTGCCCAAACCGAAGGTGTGTGCTGCACTTCGTGTGAGCGGCCGCGCCTGGAGCCGCATCCTCAAGGCCGGGGCAAGATCCCCACCGTCGGCCAGCTGGCCCCGGACTCCCCCAAGGGCTGCGACCCTGTCTTGCTTCCCGGTCCTCGCAAGGGCCGCGAGGTGTACAGGCATTTTGGCAAGGCCCCGGGAACCCCTCACGGCCACACCAAACCCGACGTCCCATCCAAGGGCAGGAAGTTCGAGCGCGCAAGAGGCCGGCGGGCCAGCCGTGGCTACAAAAACTAACCCCAGATCCTGCCTTGTTTAAAAGAAAAGATTTTGCATGCTGAGAAAAAAAAAAAAAAGGAAAATACAACTCCCTCAGAAAGCCAACCCATGTTGGCAACAACTGAAGTCTAAAAAGAATATACTGGGGACTGCTGGAAATAATTTTCTTGGCAATCCTGAGGATTCCTGAACCCGTCACCGTGTCTCGTGTCCCTGATGCCCCATGTCCCTGATCCCTCTTTTGCTACCCCGTCCCCGTCGGTCCTTCTCCTATGTCTTCCTCCACGTACTACCCTGTGCTTTCCCTTCCCAACTTACCACACAAGCGCTCCTCCTCTTCCCAGATCTTTTGGCCATGACTTTCGGAAAAAAGATTTCAAGTTTAATAAATCTTCCCATATCATCAAATTCTTCAACAACAATTTTTTTTGTATATCGTACAACATATACCTCTCTTTTGTATATTGTAACTTCACGTTTTCCCCCTCAATTCCCTTCTGTAAACCTCAAGACTTTTAGCAAATAGTACATAAAGTTACTTTATACAGTCCTTTAATTTTCATCTGCTTCACTTATCCCCAATCTAGCAGGCATGATAAGCCGGTGAACCAAACGGATGCCATTTCCGAAGGAGTAACGGGCAGCAGCCTTGAAGACACACTCACTCACGGGTGGCAACACCACGGTCGGGGAGGGCGCTGCACAGATTCACTTCTAAAACGTAATAAGGCAAAGGGCACACACAATGTAACCTTCCCAAAAATGAAAGCTTCTCTATTCTCAAAACACAGGGAACTTCTCTCCCAATTTGTATGATGAATAACCTACTTTAGTTTTTAATTACATAAAGAAGTAGATCATATAGATTATACAATCATCATAACATCATCTACTTTGCTAAGTACAATCTGTAAGAAGAAATGGTAAAGCAAGAGAAGTCTGTAAATATAATTAGTTGTAAGTTGGCAGATAGCCAACTAAGAAATCCATAGTAAAAGACAGCGAGGGTCTCAAGGAGTCCAGCTTTCAGATGCGATCTCACCCCAGCTGTCAGAGACACCAAATCCTTTCGGTGGTGGTTAGCAGGCTGGCTCACGTGTGTGGGACACTGGCACACAACAGTAGTTATGTTCTACCTCACAAATGACTATACTTCATTGAGTTTATGCTGAGTAGGGCAGTGTTTGCAAACCACTTAGATTCCAGGACGGAAAGAGCTACAAAAACGAAACATGCAGCCCTTCTCTGAGGTTTGTTACTAGCCTCTGTCAGCCACAGGTTACAGGGCACTAAACACTGCATACTGTGTGTTTGCTCGTAACCACTATGACAAATAGCCTATAACATCTTTCTGAAGACTCCTAGAAAATGTTAAGGTAATTCAAAATCTGGGAATTTAACTGGGATATACTTCAACTCTTAAAACTAGTTCTTAACAAAATATCTCACCAATTCTCTCTTAGGTGTCAATTCAACTTTGTTTCAACCAACACTAATCAATAAACTATTACTAAAGCTTTGCTACTGGGGGGGGGTGGGAGGTTGGGGAATGAAGAGTGTAAAATAATCAGTTAATTCCCAGACTACAAATAAGCCTCTTCACGGATGTTAAGAAAAGCTTTTTAAAAAATAGATTCATTAGCTTAACAGCCCAGGTGAGTTTAGGATTATTCTTGCTATACCCAATATATAAGCTAAAAAAAACTAAAACAAAATCCTAATAATACATTAAACTGATATCTTCACAACAGCTTATCAAAATATTATTTATGTAAGAGTTCTATTCTGTAGCATGTGCACTAAAATCTAAGGTATTCATGAGATAGACTATATATAGCACCTTTAATTCTATAAACAGTACTGATCCACTTTAAAGAATAATCATATAATGATATAATATAAAGTTATTAAATATATTAAAATGCTATTAGAGTGTTTTTGAAAGCATTGTTCTTAAAAGTAACAATTCCCCCAATTTGTCGTAGTGAATTATAGTCAGAGCTTCTCTGGCCTTGATAAAAAATTTACACATATTTTAACAAAAGAAACTACTGGTAAATGTACTTTATATATTTTACATAGCATTTAATTTAGAATCGCTGGAAAGCAGAGAAAATTTATTATATTATCATTAATTAATGACAAGTCATTTTATCATTTCAGATTTAAGTTTCCTGAGACAATTTTATGAAAAAATTCATGAACGTCTCAGAAATACTGTAGTTAATCGAGAACAGGAAGATTTTATACATCTTGGGGTAAATAATAACATAATTTTTATTAATAAAACATGATATATGCTTATAACATTCACAGCAGTTGTAAAATATAAATAACATAAAGCACCATCAAAGAGAAAAGAGACATGTACCTTTAAAATAGAAATCTTATGTTCTTAAGTTCTAAAAAAGAACATAACATTCGCTTCCTCTCAAGATATGAGGTACATTAGAAGAAAACAGAGAAATTTCACTATGCTCAAGAACTCTCAAAAAAGATTGAAATTTGTACAAGTTTGCCCACATAAGTGGACATGTAATAACATAAAACATACACTGTACAAAATGATTTGAGGGAAGGGTCATACAACATTGTGAATGCCACTGGTTATATACTTTTAAATGGTTATTTTATATTATGTATACTTCATATCAATATTAATTTTGTGTAGTACCATAATTTTATAATATTAACTAAATAATCTAAATATATCATGTAATAGATTTTTAAAATGATTTGACATGGTGAAACTGAAAGAATCCAATGCATGAGTATTATATTCCCCTAAATTTTAAGTGAGTTTATTAAATGAATTTTATATTATTATTTACCCCAAGATGTATAAAATCTTCCTGTTCTCTACTAACTCTAGCTATATCTATAAACCATAAAAAAAAATTCTATTTGACACTCAGAATCAAATATCATAGGAAGCTTGACTAATCTAATTTTCATTTTTTTAAAAATCCAATATGTCCTTGAAAACAGATTTTAATGGAGCAAAGAGGAAAAAGATAGTTATTTTCAAATCCAATTTTACCCAGTATTTGAGTGAAACAAGGACTGCTGATTCCCACAAATCTCCGTCCAGCAAGTTGTCTTTAGCTTAATATCTACTTTAATCATAATCAGTTTAAAACAAAAAAATGAAACAATAATAAAGCCAGAAACTAAAATGTGAGACGTACCTTTGAAAGCAAAATGAATACATATAAAATATCAAGTCATATGATCACAAGTAGAAATGTTAAGTGAGCAGAAAGACTTTTTAGGAGACAAAGAACAATGTGGTAGAAAAGGCAAAGGAAGAACGAGCTCCAAGAGCCCAATCTATGTATCAATAACATAAAACAAACCTCTTGGACCTTTACAGAGGATTCAGTATTACCAGAGCCTCATTTATGTTATGAAATAACTCAGATCCTATGTTCCACCAAAAATTAAAGCAATGGTATTTAACAATCATCATACTTCATAAAGAAGAGCACTGAACATTATCTGTCTTCGCCTTCTAGATTCGTTTCTGTGAGCAGCACAGTTCCTCATAACCAAGTGATAACTCTCCCACTGAAAACACCAAACTCCCCCAATGCCTCATGCTGATGTGAAAGAGGCACATCAATGAAAAATGGAATAAAAAGCATAAATCAATAACAGGTCCATAATTAACTTTTTAAAGTAGACTACTACCATGCTCATTTCCTATCTGTACAATAATTTAATTTAAAAACATAAATTATTTCTATATAAGCTCATTTTGCCAAATACTTGTTATATAATATATATTTCCTTAATGTATATATCACCTTCTCAAAAGACATCATTATCATATTAAAATATAGTTATGTGCTTCATACATATAATTAGTCATACTTAGTTTTCTGATACAATATATTGATATATCTATTAAATCTGGATAATTATATTTAGTAGACTAGTTCATAGCACAAAAATATAAACATGCAAATATGCCTTTTGTCCTTACAACTTAAAATGAAATTAAATTTTCCCTTTCTATATTGTTCATTCATTCAGCTTATGTATTTTGAAAGTAGTCACTATTGTAAAGTCAGCTAATATCAAAATATCATTTATCCAACTGCTGACAATACTATCTTGTAATGTAAGTAGTATGTAAATATTAGAGTCACACCAGTACCTTGACCCAATCATTCCAAACATAATTTGGGGAAGATGAAAGCAAAGGATTAGCACGAATATAAATTTGGTCTCTGTACTTATCAGGTAGAAATCATGTTAGAATGTGTGTGTGCCCAGTTGTATATGTGTCTGTGAGTGTTTCCAGGATCAGAATAATCACAGAATTCATGTCATACCTGTGCTCCATAGATATATTTATCCAACATCTTGCCTCCTATTGTCTGCCCTCCTATATCCCAAACTTGAAGGGTAACATTCAAGTTTCCTAGAACATTAAAAAATATATAAAAATAAGAATACAGAAAAAGTTAACTAACAATGCAACAACTGAACACAGTTTCACAGAACATCAAATCACAATGAGAAACTCTGAATCTAATTTGCCTTTTCATCTGGAGACTCATGTAGTTAGATATCTGGAACTATGAAGTAATGTTAGCAGAAGAAATCATAGTGGAAATTTACATTTATACTTTTACCCCATTTCCATAGAACCACATTTATAATCACCTTCAAACAAAAGAAAATAAAGCTTTAATTCATAAATTTCTTAAGCCTTAAAAAAATATTCTTAAACAGAAACTAGAACAATAAAGCACTTGTACCTGGGGTAAGAAATATACTTTAAAAATAAAAACTGAACTTTATATATTAACCTACCCTAATGCACATAATGAATTTTGATGTTAAGTTCCATACTCTAAAGGTTCTAAAACCCACAGAATAGCAGACAACAAAAATGGACCCATAGTTTCAACTTAAATGAATGGATTTTTAAAATTTCAGTATCAGCTATTATGTGTAATAGTATATATAATAAAAATTATGTATTTACTAATTTAACTTATAAAATATAAACACTTTGATAATCCTCTTCAGAGGTGAGGTAGGATACATATTCCCGGTATCACTAACTACTCTGATGCATTTATACCTGTTCAAAGCATTTCCACTGAAACAAATTATACTATGTGCTTCAATGCCTTCATAAAATAACGCGTCAAATCTTTTTTCATATATGAGCATTACAAAAGCATTCAAAAATACAAGGCAATCTTTAAAACTGTTTTGTTCATTATGTAAAATATTTGATACAGAAGTTTATGAGATAAGCTTCTCTCTCTATTCAAAACAATTATTGACTAAAAAAAGACCATGCTCAATACGCTTTTTAGTTTAATATTTCAAATTATTTCTCCTAATAAAATTATGCAGCTTTCTCCAAAGGTAGACAAAGTCTCAGTACTTTCAATATGAGCTCCGCCCCCCAAAACTGTATCTTTCTGCATGACTTGCAAATTAGGAAAACTCAAAATGAAAACTTAGAAACTAAAAAAAGGTCTCACTTCAAAACCAAACAAAAAAAGGACTATAAAGATATGAATTTTCACACCAATGTAAAACACTTAAATCGGAGAATGTCAGTCACACGGTTCAACTTGGCGACTGCAAGGGAAGCGCAACGCTGGAATCACCAGCCAGGCTGTGCTCTGAACTCTAAGCTTTGTGGGGTGTGCATGACCACCTGTCCACTACTGGGATGCAGGTCTGTCCCATCTGCCCGCATGCGGCAGATTTACGGGAAGAACTTCCATTAGCATTAACGAGAGCTACTGAAGTCTGTCGCCCCGTCGTCATCCCCACAGACACACACTCCCAGCGCCCACAGGGAAGGACAGAAATGTTCTTCAAGCTCTGTGAATACGAAAGCCACAGTGTCACAGACTGAGACTTGCCCAACAACTTGTATAAACCTAATTTCTTAAAAACCTAAATTTTTCAAGATTCGAAGCTGAAATCATCCCCCATAATGCTGTCTCAAATTGCCCAGGTGACACAGGGCTAGCCATCACTCCAATTATATCAAATACTTTCAGAAGCCCTTAGAGAAAAAGGCAGTACTCTATTCGTTTTACTTGCAAAACTCTTTATAATCGTGTGTTTACTTCAAAAACAAAAGTGTTTAACAATATTAACTTTTTTAGAGTACGATTTTAGGCAACTTAATAAAAAGCACCTAATTAATCCCATTTTTTTCAAAAACTTCTGTCAAAAACTGTGAAGCTTTTTCCCTGTAAGTCCTGATATTCAGATCCTGTCTGAGTTAAGTGTTGTGACTACTTCGACTACAACTTTAGGAACATGGTTTTCACATTTTGATGACAATCATTTGAAGACTATAAATCGTTTATTCAATTGTCTCCATCTAAGGGGTTTGTATTTACGGGTTGAGGGTATTTTTTAAATCTATACCTTTCCAAATAAACACTGTTTGCTATGGTTGGCTTGTTTTCTTAATATACATATTCTACTGCCTCAGAAATAAAAACAGCTATGCATAACTGATAACCAACTAATATACAGTGCTAACCAAAAAAATTTTTTTAAAAAACCCTTACTACCATTATAGCCTCAAAAATATTAACTTCATAGTTTTTTCATATATCTAGAAATATATTTTTAACTTCCACATTTGAATAAGTCTATTAACACATAAAATAAAAATAAATGAAATCACATAAAGATGGAATTCAAATCAACATTCATTTTAGTTTTTGCAGGCATAAACATGAAGATTCCCAGGATATTTTCAAAATGGCATACCTATAAAGCTATATAAAAGTATTTAAATAACCAATATTGCGAATTTTTTTAAAAATCAAGAATCTAATATAATTTTCTAACTAAAAAAAAGTTAAAATTTTCAGCAATCTAATCCCAGATGTAAAATGCTACAAAATTCCTGCTCCTCTGTAAGAAATGACATGTAACTAGAGAAAAAAAATAAAATAAAATAAAATAAATGAGGTGACAAAATACAGGTAAGTTGCTTTTGGTATGAATCAAAGCCACAAAGAGGATTCAACAGTGACCTTGTAAAAGTACACTTGGTGCCTTGGTTAACCTTACTTAAAGTGCTGCATAGTCAAGATGGAACTAAAAACACAAGTCTGCCCACTTCTTGTACTAAAGACTTAGAAATCCTTTTCACAGTAGAACGCTGTTTACTGGACTGTACCCACAAGCTTCCTGAAAGTATTTTGACTAAGGCTCTTAAGAAGCTCTATCAGCAGAATCTCTGACTAACAGATACACTATTTTAAGCAGTAAAATCTGCACAGTGGTTGCATCCAGACTATACAGCATACCAGATCATGAAATATACTAAAATGGATGCGTATTTGCAAAGTAATGACCTTGAAAATGTGCATGAAGAGAATGTGAATAGATAGACAGGAGGTATTACACTGCTAATAATCTGAATGGACTTAACAGTTACTGGAACACTAACAAACATGAGATTCAACTACTATGCAGCTTTACTATAAATCCAATAATGCTACCTGCAATATTTTAGTAAATGATACAAATATTGATCATCTTACATTTAACACAATGAATTAAAATTAAGGTTAAAGTATGTTAAGGATATACTATGTATTTTGTAATTTATTCACTTCATTTCTTAATGTACCTATTAATTAAATAAAATCAAGTTACAGTAAAACAATGTTTTCCTACTGAAACTTCTACCAGAATTTTGAGTCCATTAAGTAGCATAAAACCAACTGCCTTTTTAAAAAAAAAAAACTCTTTTTCTGGAACTCTGCCTATCAAAATAAAACTTAATAAGGAAAATTATAATATACATTCATTGAATATACATTTCCTAATGTTATTTTTTAATGTAATTACTTTATAACTCTAAAATATTATACTATAATTTTGGAATTCAAAAACGCCGAATTTTTTTTTTTTGCAGAGTAATCAAAATTTAAAAACTGGTAGTATTGTGCAACAGATCAGAAATCATCACATATATCAAATATAGAAAATGTCCAAAACAAGTCTTAAAATGTGTTTAATGTTTGAGTAGATGCTTACTCCTTTAAGTCTGGAACTAAAAAATCAGAAAAATTAAACAATATTAACAATACAGAAAGAGAGTGCTTTCGTTAATTAGCATCAAAAGAAACAGTCAATAACTAAATACATATGGAGGCTTTCTGTGTACAACTGGCACTTCTGAAAAAAACTGCTGTAAAAATAAGTTTTCAGCATGTATATTATGTGACTTGTGCAGGTATTCTCCTGGTGTCTGCTGTAAACATTGTGAATGTAGGAATAACCTATCCATAAGAGTGAGAATAATAAAAATAAAATGAAATTGTTGGTTTTGAATACATTAAAATAAAATACAAATGAAACTTGCTTATGAGACTTGCATATGCTTCTCATTTCAACCTCTTGCTGAAAATAACTCCATAATGGAAAATCAGAATTCTTTTCTCATACTGTATCTTCTGACTTATTTTTCATTGGTAGCTAAATAAAGACAGACCACCACAAAATATAAGAGTATATTACTAGTAAGATATGCAAAACACCTTCAAGTACCAAGAGTTTTCATGAACTGGTCTAAAACTTTCATGGAGAGCTGTCTGAGAGATGGGATGTCTGAGAGATTATAGTATTTTAATAATATTGCATTTTATTAAACCCTTCCACTATCACTCATATTCTATCATATGATTCTGATGCTACACTTGCAACCATTTTTATTCAAATAGGTTTCCTCAGAGAGGAGAGGGATGCATTGGTTTATAAGGTCAATCAAGATAAACTGCTTTTAATAAAATTCTTTAAACATATAATTTAACCATCACAGTGAATGGACCGAGCATTTTAAAGCCCCAATTGTTCAGAAACTAACTTAAAACAGAAACCACTCTTTTTTTGTTATTATTTCCCTGTATTTCCCACAAAATGTGCTGCAACTGGCATCTAAATAGTTTCTTTGCATGGTGAACTGAAACATCTTGAATGCTCAAACTGTATTTTTATGAGTGCCTAGGGACCCTAAATTTTAGTGGTCTATTAAATGCCAGCAATTTCATGCTGCCTTGCATAAAACAGCATTCACATATTAGAGCACAGAAGTTCCATAGCTACATTATACTTCTGGTCCAACTTTCAAACAAAAAAACTGAAGCAGAGGCTAATCAAAATAATATTTTTTAAAAAAATCCTTTCCAGTCTTTTCCATTTAGTTTATACAATATCTGCTGATAACTGTATAGCATTTGATTTTTTAAAACATTTTATAATTTCATAAGCAATTATTGTTTATCTTTGAAAAAATCTGTAGTAGTCAAAATCTGTAGGAGATTAGAGGCGTATTCATATACAAACTTTATTCTCACACCCATGGACAATGTCTTCATGATAGAAGCTGATGAAAGTCAACCTCTCTAAGATAAATGTACTGATTACATGTATTTTCATATAGAAGCAACCCCAAAATTTATTTTACATATTTCTACCTATGTCTCTTACTGTAAAACATGCACAATTTTCTACATTATACTTTGAGTCTCTTACCTGGCAATGTTATCCTTCTCAAAAAGAAATCCAGTCCTATAGTTTGTTTGTACTGTTTCCCAAAAGTCTCTTGAGCAAAACACGTAGCTAAGGAGGTCTAAAAATTGATGCACATAATATCAAAATTAATGTCTTTGTTTTAGAAATAAAACATCACTCCTAAATCTTAGTAAGTAATCTTAATACTCATACTCCCATTAATCCAACAACTTTAAGCGGTTCTAATCAGTTATGGGGAGGAGGGACTTAACACCTCCAGGTAAATATCACTTGCCAACAGCTATCAGTGAGGACAACAGACTAATCAGTTAGGTATCTGTAAATCCCGATTGTCAAACTCCTTCACCTTGCTGGACGTTAGAATTTGAAATTTATCATTTGAAATTAAAGCATCCTCATAAAAGATATGAATCTTATATCTACATATATCAGTTCAATTCAAATTTCAGACAACTCTAAGTTTCATTTCTGAAGTTAAATATTTTGAGTAGTTTGTGCCCTCAGCCAATTATAAGAAATGATTAAGGAGGGGAAAGCCTATTTACAGAATTTCTTTTCTCCCCCGCACTACAAAAAAAAGTATCATTAAGTATCTAATTTTTCTCTTTGCTAAAGCTGTTAAATGAAAGTAATTCTATAGAATGACTCAAGTAATACATAGCTTTAAAAAAAAGAGCTGGTATTTTTAAGATTAATATTAAGCAAAAGTAAATATTTTCACCCATGAACTATGAAGCTTAAAAGCCATAGGAATATTATAAACAGAACAGATAGATACAGTATCTGCATTTTCCTAAAAGAACAACTCAAAACTATGTTCAAAACTTGAGGGCTTTCTCACCGAGTACCACTTATTAAAGCAAAAGAATAATTAATCATTCTGATAACAACTGAAATAAGTCAACTTACAAGCTTCTTAAACATTTTAAATTCACTATTTATTTGTAAACTTTATCAAACAGAAAAGAGAGGCAGCTTCATGAGGCTTTTATGCTCTTCAAGAGAGGCTACCAAAGTTAAAGAAAAATAGCACTTTTATTTTAAAAGTTAACATTAGATGTCAACTCCTAAAATACTTAAAATTAAGATAAAATTTCCTAAATAGCTTATTATAATTAATTTTGAAATAAGTACAGCAGTACAAAAGAAAATGACCAAATTTCAATTCCTTTAAACAAAAAGACCTAAAATTCCTTTATTTTTCACACAAATGGCAACTTGCATGCCTTAATTTCAATTCTCTTATAATAAATACTCAGCATTTTAATAAACGTCTAAGACATTTGGTCAAATATTTACTCAGCACTAAAGATGTTCTACTAGAGAATGAGAAATAAACCCACTACACCAAAATGAAAATTTATTTGGCTTCCTTGAAGCATATAACAATAATATAAAAACTGAGAAATCACAATAAAAAAAGGTAAATACTCCTTTTTAAACCCTTTCTTTCATTTGGCTCTATTTATGCCATTGAACTTATTTAACTCAGAGCACAAAATCATCTGTGAAGAGGCTCAGAGTTCTAGAGAAAAATAACTATAATCACCACTACTACAGATATTTCAAAATGTTTAATAAATGAATGAATCCTGAAATGCTGAAATAGTATTTTATGTCAAAGAGAAACTCAGGGCATATGTAACATCAGCAAATTGTTATTTAAGGTAATTTTTCACTTTTAAGATTCTCAAAGTTCAGTATTTTTATATTAATGAATATTCAGAAAAATTCTGTAGTTCTTTTCTTGGAAACTTCTATCCTCATACTTTTGAGGCAAACATAACGCTAGGGTTTCAACTGAAGTGAAGTATATAATCTGTCAAAAGTATAGGTGGCTGGGAACAAAGCATTAAAATGGGTTCTTATATCATCTCTGATACCTTACTGTAATTACTATAAAAATTAAACAGTATCACCCAAATCAGGAGGCACTTCCTCTTCAATTATGTAGTACTTATGCTATTTTTCACATCCAATAATTTATCGCCCCCGTTATTGTATAAATATCCTTCTTAAACAGTTATAAAGTGAACAATCGCCTACCATATCTGAAACAATTTATCTGATTCAGTGTATGGGGGGCCCGGGGGGCGGAAGGGTTGGTGAACTTTTTGTTAACAATTTCTAACCATACTACACTTACTAGTACTGAAAAGACATCATAAAAAAATTTTGCGTTAAAAAAATCTTTTAAAATATGCAATAAAATCAAAAGTATGAATCAAAACAGGAAAGAAGTGGGAACACGTGTTACTAGGGGGAGGAGCTAAATTTCTCTTGGAGAAACTGTGGTCATCTCGATAATTTACTGCTTCTGCCAGTATGTGTCAAAATGATCTGACTTAGAACAAGCAGGACAACCTATTGCTAGAAAACATGGCCAGGAGTTAAATCAGAATACAAATTAAAATGAAACGTTGAATTTGTATAAGATATGGACTGTAAAGGAAATAGAATGGCAACATTGGTAGCTGCCAATAGTTTGAGAGCGAGTTGGGTTATGGAAAAAAAAGTTTGATGCATTTGTAAAGACAAAAGGTTAGGTTTCCGATGCTTGTATCTGAAAATCTCTGGCAGAAGAAGTCTTTGCGGTTTTAAAATAGTCTAATCAAAATGGTGAAAACAAAGTCAAAACACCGTAAAGAATATCGCTGTTATCCTCTGAAGCAGACTGACAGTTCTTCAACAGTACAGAAGGGAAAAGACTGCTTTGTCCTACACAGAATTTTAGACAAAAATGAAAAACCGTAATTATTCACATCAAATTAACAAGAGAAACACGTGTAATGCAGGCTAAGAAAAAAATCTAGACACAGAATTATGAACCAATTTCAACTGAGTAATAAGTGCATGATAACAGATAAATACTGGGAGAAATAAATAAAATTTTAAAGAATTATGATAGAAAGTAGGATAATGGGCAATTTCATCTTTTTACAAGTGTATTAGTGTTCTAGATTGTTATTATAATCCTAAACAGGAAATAAATTGTTATGATGTGACTAAAAAATTTAGGAAATAAAACATTACAAGGCATTCAAAAGAAAATATGATAGATGAGAACACTAAAAATGTAACTTAAATTTTTATTGAATAAGGGTGGTAGAAACAACGTGGACTGGTTTAAAACAATTCATCCATTCAAAAAGTTGTTTTAATTGTATAAAAATTAATATAATTAATACATTACAAAGAAAAGTGATCCCAAGTTCTTCTCTTCCCCGAAATGCTTCCGGGTAATCAGAGCATATTAGGTAAGCTGTTTTTCCTCAACAATGCAAATCGGTAATAAGATATAAGAGAAGGGAAAGAAAGAAATTAAGAGAATTCTCCAAATTTTGCAAATTTGTTTCCCAAGGGCCCCCGAAACTCAAATCTCAGAACCACAGACAGGGGCAGCCGTGCCTGCCATATCCCACGGAAGAGGCCAAGCGTATTCGTCACCCCGGAAACCAGGGTGCCCACAACGCGGGGAACACGCAACTGCGAGACGGGAAAGGGGGACCTGGTAGGAATAGCCTGAAGGCTCCGGCTGGGAAAAGGCAGGGGAGAGGAGGGGGGACAGGCTTCAGCAGTATTCCCGGAGAGTTTGGCGCCTCCGGCAGAAGCGACAGGTGTGAAGGCACCCCGGCCGAGGCCCTCACTTTCTTTGCGGGGGTGGGACACCGACCCCTTGAGATCCTACGCACCGAGCTCTTGAAAGAGCAAGGAGCGGGCAATGCTTCTTGCTTATTGCATCCTGGGTTAAAAACGCCAGCCTAGGACGTGCGGGGACCGGCTGCCTGCTCTTCCCACGCACGCACGCACCCACGCACGCGGGCACGCACTCCCATTCCTTCCAGCGCCCCCGACCGAAGGCTGGGCTTCAAGGCAAGGATCCCCTCTGCCCCGCCAGCGGCCCCGGCCGCAGCACCCAGCCCCTACGAGCAGCTCAACAGGTATTTGTTGAATGAATGTGCTGACAGGTGCTGTGCTGGGAACAGAGGTGATCAAGTAGGATGCCCATAAGACAGCAACTACCGTTTATTGAGTGCACCCACGTTTTGAAAACTTTTGGTGGGTTTTCCCACTGACAGTGTATTTGCACACTTCACGCTTCGAGGCGACCCCTATCCACACCCCCTTTCAGAGGAAGCACGAACAGGTGAGCAATCTGCCCTCCAGTGACCCGACCAGTAACTTCTCACCCAGGGGATCTGATTCCACAGCCAAGCTCCTGGGAGCTCCCGGGAAAGTGGAGGCATCAGACACGGTAATGGGGGGCTGGGGAGGGGGGCAGGAGCAAAGTGTGACCTGGACCACAGTGAAGAGAGAGAAGCCCTGGCAGATCCTTGCCAGTCATCAGAGGAGAGAGGCTGGAAAGCTTCCCGGGGAGGCGATGCTGGCCCCCCGTCTTGAAGGAGAAGCAGGAATTCGCAATGCAGTCAGGGAGCTGGGAAGTGACCTTCTTCTTTCTTTTTTCTTTTTTAATTTAAGGGGGGCTGGTCAGCTCTCGCCGGCCTTTACCAAGCGCCTGCGGGCTGGGGCCCAGAGGCCCCGGGACTCAGGGCAATGAGGCGACGCCGGCGGCGGGGAGAAGGCGGGGGGGCGCCGGGGCCGCGCCGGGGTTCCTGCAGGCTTGGACGGCGAGCCCGATCGAGGACTGACCTTCCCGGAGGTGCCGTCCCCCAGCACGACGATTTTCAGTTGCCTGTCCTGGCTCTCCTCCTCAGAGTCCGACATGGTGTCCCGAGAACCAAGTCTGCCTCCCCCCCACCCGCCCAGGTAGAGGGAAGAAGGGAAGGAGGAGGCTCGGGGGGCGGGGAGAGGAAAAAAGGCGGCAGTTGAGAGTAGAACCCCCCGCCCCGGTGCCTCCGCGACCGCTGGAGAAATCCAGGCAGATCACTCGCCCGGCGCCATCTTGCCCACCCTCCCTCCACTCTCCACGCGGCCCGCCCCCTTCGCGACGTAGGACGCGCACGCCCACGTCTGCTCCAACCCGCGCCCACCCGCGACCCTCCCTGGCGAGCCAGCCCATTCGCGGGCCTGAGGTTGGGGCGACGTTCGAGACGAGCGGCGAGACGCGTCGCTATCTTCGCCTGGACAGTAGGCAAGGGATAAAAAAGGGTATCATTAAAACTAGGTAGAAAAGTGGACGACTAGTCGGTGCTCAGGCATTCTATCAAATTCTCTCGTAGCCATCTCCCCCGAGAAGATCCCTTTGCGAATGGTGTGGCCCCGGGGTTGGGGGATGACGCCAGGGCTGCGCGCTGCGGTTGCCATGGAAGCCAGGCGTAGAAGTAGAGGCGGCGGGGCGGGGCCTGTCTCTGGGCGCCCGGGAGGCGGGTTGCCAGGGGCAGCGTGCAGGGGCGGGGCCCTGGAGCTGGAACCACAGAATTCCGTGTTTCATTCATCAAGCACCTACCCTAGAGCGGGAGTTGCCAAAGCGAGGTCGGAGGAACCCTGGGACTCGATAAAGTCAAAACCATTTTCATAATAATACACCTTTTTTTTTTTTGCCTTTTTCATGTTCATTCTGTCATATATAGAGAGAAATTTTCCAGAGGAGGTATGAGGTGTATGACCTCGCTGTGGCAGCAGCTAAGGGAGCCTGTGCTTACTCTGTTTCAAGCATTTCTTAGGCTGTAGTAATGGCTATAACAAATAAACAAAGGCTCTTTGAGGTTCACAGTAATTCTTAAGCGTGTAGAGGGGACCTGAGCCCAAAATTCTCAGAACTGCTATCCAGTAGAGTAGATAAAAGACAAAACTAAAAATTTTAATAAGGTGAGATAAAATCGACAATAATAATTCTTGCCTACCATGTCTCTCTCGTTGTTAATTACTTGACCTAGATAATCAGGTTCACTCCTCATGGTAACTCTAAAAATCCAGGTGGAATTATCCCATGTTACAGATGAGGAGCCTTAAGTCACCAAAAGCGGAGCTCAGAGGCAGTGTCCTTATCAAATGCGAGTTCTAATGGGAAAGCAGCGGAGTGCAAGAAATGGCCAGCCAGCAGACAGCCCTGGAGTTCAAATCACAGACCTGCACTTGCTGAGCCTGTGGCCTTGAGCCACAGTTTCCTTATCTAGAAAACAGAGGTATGGTACTACTTCCTGCACAGGGTTGGGAATTAAAGGTCTTAAATCACCCAGTCCGCTGGGCTGTCCAACCCATGCCTGTAGGCTGCATTGCAGCCAGGATGGCTATGAATGTTGCCCAACACATTTTGATGAGCAACACATTTTTTTGCTCATCAGTTTTCATTCGTGTTTGTGTATTTAATGTATGGCCCAAGACAACTCTCTTTCTTCCAGTGTGGCCCAGAGATGTCGAAAGGTTGTACACCCCTCGTAAAGGAACACAGCACAGTGCTTGGCATGTGGTAAGCACTCAGTATTAACCAGCATGATGACCACCGCATCATCTGTCCCATGCTAGAACACTGCTGCTTTCCCGACATGTTACCTTCGGTTTCTTAGGGAGACTCTCAGCCTCTTCCCCTGTAGACAGGGCTGGTCCACACTAGTGGATACCCAGTCGATATTAGTTCCCACCACCGATAACAACGCTCTGCATCACTGGGTGTGTTGATGGGAATTAGAAGTAAAAGGCATGTAAGAGGGCTTTGCAAACTACTTTATAAATGTTACTTTCGGGAATCTGCATCTAATAAGGATAGATTTAACCCCTATTTGTCTATGAAGGAAGTTACAGTGCACAAACTGTTTTTCCACTCTTCCTTAATGAAGAGGGTCATGTGACCCAGTTCTGCTCAATGAGATAGAAGCGGATGTCGTTATTTGAATGAGGACATAATGTTTGGAACTGCTCAGACTTCAGTAGACCCCTTCCAGGCTTCTTGCTCTGGGGAATAATACTAAGGCACTTTAGTGATGTATTCCATTGCCTGAAGACCAAAAAAAAAAAAAAATTCTCAATTGACACAACTATTTCAGCCAAAAACTAAATTTAGCTAAGGTAATGGGACTGATTTTCTTGTGTAGTTTGTATAAAGGAAAATCTAGAGGAAAACTTTGCATTTTCCAATCATTAATTTCCTAAACAACTGCCTTGAGATAGAGACGTCATTTATGTGGATGTGGTTTCATCCCTGTGAGTATTGCTACGTGAAATAAAAAGCTAATTGCATTAAGTTAGTGACCATGTTTTACACACCTATGGCAAGATTCCAGGTTAAAAATTAGATTTGAAAACTTGGAGCCATATTTGCAAATTAAAATGAAATAAATATTCTTCTGTGTGGAGTATCTCTCTGGGTAGCATTGAAAGCTTCTGTTTCCGGTACGGCGCTTTGTCATGCTAAAGAGAAATAGAGCTGATCCACAGAAAACAAAGATGGTTCTGTGGATCCCTTGTAAAATGCCCACACAGGGCCATAAACTAGGGGACTCTTGTCCCATGTTCTTAAAACTAGTAAGTTAACAAAATACTTAGAGAAGAATTCTAGAAACAAGAAATTAAGGTTCTTTAGATATGAAGAAGTAAAAATAATTGCACAAGATAAAGCCTGCTGCTATCTGTAAAACCAACTTCCCACCTAATTTTAAAATATCTTTTCTGGCATTCGTAACATATGATAATCCAAATTTTTGTTGGAATACATCCAGATTCAAGAAGTTTACTCCCCCAGGAAGCAACTTGGACAATGGCCCAGGTATTAGAATATTCTTAGATGAGCTGAAGTCTCCCTTTATAAATTTCAACTAATGGCATTGGGTGTGTCTTCTGAATGAAACAAAACTTCCCCATTGTAATAGAGGTTTTCAAATTGTTTCATTATATTAATGATTGACTTGACAAATATTAAGTAGATGGCTACTGTGTACCAAGCATTCTTGTTCACAACTCTTCTAAACAATGAGGACATACATACAAGAGACCAAAATATACAAGGGCTCTGCTTGCATGAAACTTGTTATTTGGTGGAGAAGTGCAGTAGACTAAATAATGGCCACCCCAAAAATATCAGGACCTAATCCCTGGAATCTGTAAATGCTGCCTCATTTGAAAAAGCACCCTTCAGATGTGAGTAAATTCAGGACCTCCAGATGCAGAGGTTACCCTGGATTATCACGGTAGGCCCTAAATTCAATCAGATGGATATTTAGAGAAGAGGGGGCTAGGTGTGACCCAGTGTGACCACAGAGGCAGCGGCTGGAGTCAGGCAGTGACAAGCCAAGGAATGCTCACAGCCACTAGAAGCTGGAAGAAGCAAGGAGCTACTTGCCCCCTGGAGCCTCCAGGGAGAGTGCAGCCTTGTCAATACCTGGACTTCAGTCTCATGAATACTGATTTAAGACTTCTGCCCTCAAAACCTGTGAGAGAATAAGTGTATGTTCTTTTAATCCAGCAAGTTTCTGGTAATTTTTTACTAATAAAAGGAGAAACACAAAAATTTCATAAATCAAACATGAAAATTTCAGATTCAGATAAAGATTTTTTAAAAAACGGATGATGGATAGGATAAAGACTAAAAATACCCGAACATTTTGTTCAAACACTAAATAAATGGAGAGATGTCCCATGTCCATGCATAGAAACACAATATTGTAAAATACAGCAGTTCTACCAAAAGATCTATGAAGTCAATGCAATTCTAATAAAATTTTTCATAGACTTTGAAATAATGCATATGGAAGGCAAAGATCTAAGAATAATGGAAATAGTCCAGGAAAAGAAGGACAAATAACTTCCTTTACCAGATATCAAGACTTAGTATAAAATTAAAAAATTAAGATATAATGTATTTATTATTTCAGGAATAGACAAATGGGCCATTGTAACAAAACAGAGGGCCATGAAATGGTGCCCACATACGTGGAACTTTGATATAAAACAAGGTATATATGATAGTAGATAAAGGTGGGGGGAAAGAGTGTAGCTGGAAACCATATAGGAACAGAAATAAAACTGGAATCCTACAGTTCATCCTACACACATGCAAAAAATAAAATTCAGTGCAGTTAAGGAGCTAAATGTGAAAAACAAAATTTAATGATTTGTGATGACTATCTTATCTCAGGATACTCACAGATGTCTTGAGCAAGACACAGAGTTCATCATAAAGGATAACATAAAAAATTGCATTAAAATTGAAAATTGCTCCATCAAAAGATACCATACAGAAGGGAAAAAAAGGAAGAGGTTAGAAGTCACCTTAACATCTGTCATTTAAGCCACCCAGTGTTTTGTTGTGGCGGCCCAAGCTAACTACAGCAGATTTTGAACACAGTTTAGTCCATAGCAATATCTAAATGAAAAATAAGTGGTACATACCTAATTTTTCCAAATTAGTATTTGGAAAGTATTGAAAAGGGCTTAGAATTTCCAAATTTGTTCAAGTATTATTAAACTGCTATAATTAAAGCTATGTGGAGCAGGCACTAGAATAGATACATGAATTCCTTCAAAAGAAAAATATAGAATGGTCCCAAAATATGAAAAAATTAAGTGGATAGTAAACATGGCATTTCTAATCAATGGAAAAATGTAATGTTATTCACTGGATGTTAATTTTTGAAACTGAATGTCTCTCTCATTCCTTACTCTCATAAAAGTAAAAATATATTCTTAGAGGAAACCATAACAAACTAAAAAAAAAATGGGTAAATACTTATAACCTGGAATAAAATAGTTAATCTAACCATGGTATGAAATTCAGTCAAAAAATTAAATACTGATCATTTGTATATACATAAAATTGTAAACATTCATGTAGCAAAAAGCATGACTAGGATCTTATAAGCTCCCACCAAAGAAGATTAAATGGTTAGGACCAATGTTCTCATTGAGAAAGCTAGAAAAGCCAAACATAAT